TTGTGCTGCCATGGATATGGCCAGGAAATATAAATATTTGCAGTTATTTGTATGTTATATATAGATAGATAGATATAGAATGTCATTCTAAGTGTATTTTGTTACATATATATATATATATATATGTATATATATATATGTATATATAAATATATTTAAAATTCCAATATCCCCGCACTCACGCTTAGTAAATTTCCAGTTTGCTGGGTGCCATAGCCTAGACTCCAATAGTACAATCCACCAAAAAATAGCTGCTCACCGAAACTCCAATGCTTTAATCAATTCAAGTTAAAATGAGAAACCAACGTTTCAGTCCCCACTTGGGACTTTCCTCAGGGTAACAGAACAACATAAAAAACATCAAATACATGACAATATATAACATAAATGTAATTGAATTAAACTCACCCAGGTGCAGTGTGCTCATACTGATCGTAATGCGGTGCACTTCCGGGTATGCGCGCTCATACGTGAATAAGCTCCGCCCCTTGCGTGCACGTGATACGTGCCGATTGCGTCAGATTGTGTATAAGGTTGTTTAGCAACCACTGATGCCGTGCCGTGGCAAGGTTATATATGATATAATCAACTGCAGTGAGAAATATAGGACGAATAATATATGTGCCCGTAAAGTGCTTGTAGTGAAATAAAGTGCTTAGAGTGAGACAAGTGCTGAAATATAGTGGACAGAAAGTCCTTTATATCATGGACAGTATCATTTGAAATATTTTGTACAGTAGGCACTTTCTGTCCACAGTAGGTCCCCCTCCTTATTGTATTTTAGGGCCCCCACCCACCGTGCAGGGGTGAGGGCCGGGGGAGGGGAGGACAGTAGGCCCCCCCATTGTCATTTAGGACCGCCACCCGTCGCCCATGGGTGGGGGCCGGGGGGAGGACAATAGGCCCCCCCTAATTGTTATTTAGGGGGCCCCACCTGCCGCGTGGGGGGGGGGGGCGGTTAGTAGGGTTTTTTAGGGTTTTTTAACAGTTGGCAGCCACAGGCTGCTCACTGTTTAATAGACATGCCCCTACTCACAGTATAGCGAGTAGGGGCTGAATTTACTAATACTAAGTAATCTTAACTTAGTATTAGTAAAGTTGGCTGAAAGACCAATTTAGGTCTTTCAGCCTTTTAGTAGATAACTCCCTGATACCGTGGGAATTATGGAATTATCTACTAAGCGGCTGCAAGATGCAGCCACAGCACGAATAGGATCGGAGTTTCATTCATTTGAATAAAATTGTGATCCGAACAAAGTCCCGAATTGCATCCTAACACGAATGGAGAAACTATTCTCATTCTGTTAGGATGCAATTCGGCCCTTTTGCCAGCATTCTGTCTAAGTGACAGGACGTTCGGCAATACTGACAGGAAGCATCGTGGGAACAAGGAGGAAAGGTGAGAATTGTGGTAAAATTGCTCTGACCAGTGGAAATGAAGCACACTTTGCTCCTCTGCTGGTCAAAGCTGGTCAAGCGGAGGAAACCTCCATAAGGCAGAGTCCCTACTTTGTCTTATGATTTTAAAGAAAACTAAAGAAGACAGGAAGAAAAGAAGAACAGATCCTGAGAGAGGGGGAGAAGAGGAAGAGATTGAGGAAAGGTAAGTTTGGCATGCCAGTGCCGCTTTAAGTACTGTTTCATATGTTACGTAATGCATTGCCTTGTTAATGCTTGCAGCCGCAACTTCTCTCTTAAACCAAAATTTTGCAAGTCCTCTCATATACCCCACTGTAGCATCTGTTTATTTGAAAGGGCAAGTGGAATGCCGTTGGGGTACCACATGTATGCCTGTCATATCCTTATGCACTACAAAAATAAAGAATTTAAAAAAAAAATAATAAAAATTAAATAAAAAAAAATATGTGTAAATTCGTTCTAACTGTATTTTAAAATTAATATATATATATATTGATATCAAAATACATGTAGAATGAAATATATATCTATATACATAAGTATATACGTATATATCACTATATATACCTATATATAAATATAGGTATATGGAATAGCAAATGTGTTGGCACAAACTTCCCTAGCAGGGCCGCCATCAGAAATTTTGGGGCCCATGACAAAGCACAAGGTCTGCCCATCCACTCCCACACTCCGGGCCCGCCCACACCCTACCTAGTCCGCTCACAATGATGCAGGACTGAATGTGGTGTGTATAGTGGAAGTGATTTAGAATGTGTGTAATGGATGTAGTGTTTGTGTGTATTAGATACTGTTTGTGCAGTGAATGCAGAGTGTGTGTTTGTGTTGCAGATGCATTGTGTATAGTGAACGCAGAGTGTATTTGAGTAGTGGATGTAGTGTGTGTACAGTGATGTAGTGTGTGTTTGTGTAGTGGATGTAGTGTTTGTATGTACTAGATGAAATGTGTTTAGGGGATGCAGTGTCTGTAGTGGATGTAGTGTGTGCATTAGACACAGTGTCTGTGTATAGTGAATGCAGAGTGTTTCAATTTGTGGTGGATGTAGTGTGTGTACTGTGAATACAGGATGTTTGTGTAGTGGATGCTGTGTGTACAGTTAATGCAGAGTGTATGTTAGTGTAGTGAAAGCAGAGTGTGTGTCAGTATAGTGAACTGCAGAGGGGGCCCAGGCAGCACACAACTTCTCCTCTCTTCTCTCTTCTAATAACTCTTGCGAGACCCGGTTACCATGGCAACGCTCCACGGTCTTGCGAGAGTTATTAGAAGAGAGAAGAGAGGAGAAGCTGTGTGCTGCCGGGGGGCCCGCGGCTGCACACATAGATCGCGATATTCGCTATCTACGTGTGCAGAGAAAGAAAGTGGGGCCCAGGACTGCCAGAGCAGTCACGGTTGTCACCCCCTGATGGCGGCCCTGTTCCCTAGTGTTGTAATAGGATTCTCTAGTGGAATGACACCTAGTATTTATGATGATGACCTATAGCTCTGTGGCACAAGGCAATCTATGCTATGAGTAGGATTATCTGACCAGTTAGCATGTACAGAGGAAGAGAAATGGTGGCGTTTGACTGTGCCCCCCTCCCCACCTCCTTGAAAATCTCAGCCAATCCAATTCTTTCCTATGTGAAAGCATCGTAATCAGCTCAGATCAACACTTCTGATGATGTCAGGCAAGGAGATATATCAGTGGAAGTGCCAGCATCAAACTGGAATAAAGGTAAGATTGTACTATATTTAGGAGGGCTATAAATGCTACTGCAAAGTCTCTGTTTAAGCTTTACATATGTTACGCAACAGTTTAGCATGTTTATATTTTACCTAATTAATAAAAAATGAGGCATTACTATCTAGGAGATGTGACAAAAATAGATGCTATTGACCAACAGATTTTTTGCATGCCAGAACAAAGCCAAAATAAAAACTGAAATGTATATAGTTACTAAAGCATTACAATTTATTTACTGCAAAATTTCATATTTTCTTCTATTTTCAGTGACTGATCTAAAGGAGCAAACTGTTTACATAATGTTTGGTATTAAGTAATGTTATCAAAAAGACACACATAATACTTATTCTCCAGCCAGCCATTATGCTCTCATGGTTTTCAATTTGACAATTTTTATTTTCAAATAAAATAAAGCTTGGGATACAGAAGAGAGAAGGGGGGGTAGGGTGGGACATCATATATTGTCATCATACAGTTTATCCGTTGCTACATGGTACAGTAGTGTACAATGACGTTATACATTTTGTTCGTCCTGGACTTGCCCTCTAGTATTGGGTTCTGAGACCTTCCTTGCTCCTTATCCTTGTAAGCGTACCCCTACGGTCCCTAACGGAGTGGATGCTCTCATGGTTTTCAATGACTGCTCTTTGCCTCCTATGTATTTATTATTGTGGAGCTAATCCTGGGGTATGTATTTATGTATTGCTATAACCTTAAAGGAACACTACATTGTTAGGAATAAAACATGTATTCCTAATGCTACAGTGTCCTGTTACCTATTGTGGTGTACTTCCTGCCATGTGAGGGTTTAAAGGGTTAGTATTACTTCTTTTTCAGCCCTCTCCATGCCTGTCTCTACAATCGCACTCTATCTCTATGGCTGAGATCATCAGTGTACATGATGTTAGCCAATCCAGTATTTCATCATATAGAAACATTGAGAGGCTAGTATACATGCTCTGCAAAATGCCATGCTGTGTCTGTTAAATAGTCTCTACGAGGCTATTGGGGCTGAAGTCTAGTGACTGTCTACGTGACAGCCTCTAGAAGCATGTTAACCCTGCAATAAAAACATTGTTAAAATTGCAAGTATTTAGTTGCAGTGTTAAAACTGCAGGAACATGGCACCCAGACTACTTTATTGAAACCATATTTTTGAGACTTCACTTCATTAAGACTATTAAGTTGTTATGGTGCAAGGAGGTCCCAGGCACCATCTTACCATACAGGGTTAAGCCATTAACGAATGTTTTAACCCCACAATTTGGAAATCAGTGCTGAATTGCTCTGCTTCTGCACTACCCCTAAGTGTCCAAGACTTCAATCAACTGATGCTCACAGCCTATTACTAGCTCTCCAGTGAGTGAAAAGGGTATGTTTATGAATGTAGTGCTAATGATGGGCTTAAAGCTTCAGCTGGTGCTCTCAGCCTTTCAGCAGAGCTCAAGTTAGAAAGACTTGGACCTTCAGAGGATGTGGAGGGGCAGAGAGATCAAGCTCCAACTTTAGGGTTAAACCTTAATCTTGTTGGTCTGAAACTTAAGGGACCTCCTCACACTATAACAACCGCATTGAGATGACGTTGTTATAGTGCCCGGAGTGTCCCTTTAATTTGTCTTTTACTATATTAGTCCCATGCTATTAGGATTTTGCCATAAATTATGTTTCAAGTATTTTCATTGTTTTTAAACATTTTTGCATTATTTGCATAATTATTTCTGTGGTAAAGGTTTTTCATTATTTTGTCTCTAATCCCAGCATATAACTTTTTGCTAATATGTGGGTCTTATGCCTGTTTTAGACTGTTTCTAAAAGAATATATGTATTTGTATTGGTTATATTGCCTTTATTTATTTATTTCAGAGCTTGTATGCCACTTGAGCCAGGCTGGTAGTGATTTACATTAGTTGTGCCACCTAGTGGCATTGGAAGTGTAGTGCACAACTGACAGATGTAAGTTCAATTACAATTATTTATATAGTGGCAAGATATTCTGCAGCGCTGTACAATAGGTAAACAAGACAAAAATTTAATTCTAATAAAAATGTTTGAATATTGGAACGCAATAAGCTTACAATCTATAGACAACTCTTTCCCCCTTTTTTAAAATTACTTTTACAATATGATACATAGGATTAGGTTACAGGGGTGAGGCAACAGTCACTGATACCTGGGTGAAGGACTATGCAATGCCCTATATCAGGGGTGTGCAATCTTGGGACCTCCAGATGTTATGGACTACATCTCCCTTGATGCTTTGCCAACATTATGGCCCTAAGAGCATTACAGGAGATGTAGTCCAAAATATCTGGAGGGCCGAAGATTGCCCACCCCTGCCCTATATGGATGTAGGTAAATTGCTCTTTCCTTTACACATCTTGTTCCCCTTCCTTTATATGTCTATTACTTTTAACAATAAAATGCATCACAGGAAACATAGCCCTCAAATCTAGGGAAACGCAGTCTTTAGTAATGATAAGATGCACTCCCTTAGTTCTACACCTGTTAGGGTAATTGTCCATAAAATTAGATTAGAGCATGTAAGGGTAATCCATTAATGTACAGCTTGTGAATACCGACTAGTTGCAAAAGGTATAATAACCACCCCCTTAAGTGGCTTACATAGAAATCATAAATCAAAAAATACCTGCACTCCCATGTATAATGCAAATCCGATTTGATTAAATAATTAAAATTTTAAAAACACGCATAGTTAATCCATATACACCAATTCAAGAACAGATTTGAAATAGTTAATATACAAATTGATATTATATATACCAATTTTATTACAAGACACGGAGGCTCATATTGCATATCCCTTTCTTTAATGTCCACCAAAAGCAGCAAAGAATACAACACAGAATGAAAAAATAATACATACATAATAACATTCCAAGTTCCGGTATACTAGTAAGCACCACCCCCAGATCATCCTCTTTCTTCGCTGCTCCACGGTCAGATTAGTACCTACTTTTCTCTGTTCTGTGGGATTGTCATTTTATTGTTTTTTTGTTTGCTATGTTGCTGTTATTGTGCATGTATTTTCAGTTTGTGTATACTGCAGTAATTCTGGTAGACTCAGGGTCCCAGACCAGATAAACCTGTTCTGTTGGTGTTTTTTTCTGTTATACCACTACTTTTTTCCCATTGTCCCGGCTTTAAGCTTCTGATTCTGTTCCCCTCTGCCTGTCCTTTATTCCTGCTGGACTGTTCTGTTTTCTTCTATCTGCCCTCCCTGTTCCTGTCGTTTACCCTTCTGTTTTGGGGCTCCCGGTGTTCCTGGGCTGTTTTTGACACCATTTGGCGCTCTTTTTCGCGCCCTTCTCTGCTCCGTTCGACCAGTGTGGACTGACATTCGGCAGTCTTTTCTTGTACGAACACCAAGTGCTTTTGTTTAGTGTCCGCGTTCAGTTCGCGAACGCTATCCCGCGTTCAGACTTTTTACCTGAACGTTCGACTGTTTTGCCCCTTCGCATATTTTGCTTTATTGGACGTGTCCGTCCCGCAAATGCATCTCGTTTGCAAGCCGAACGTGCTCGTTCGGTGGTAATTTTAGCCGCATTCATTTTTTTTTTGTCTCCTGCGGGCTGTGAGGACTGTATGCTTCCTTCCTGTCTTTCTCCTTCCCCTTCTGTGTCTTTGCCTTACTGCCTCGTGTAGTTACTTCTGGTCTGGACCCTGGTGAAATCTTTCCCTTGTTACTTTTTCCTGATTTTATTAGTTTGGGTGATTAAGCCTTACTACTCTGGTGACGTTGCAGCTATTTAGGTGCCTGTTTTATATCTGTACATGTATATAGTGTGGCTCATTTATTGTGCCTAAACCTAGGGTGCCTGTCTGTTCACCTATCCCTGGGGGATGGATACCCCTCTGGCCTTGGGGGGAGGCCCCGCTAACTCCCATTGGTGGACCCATCTGGCCACACCGAGGACACTCAGGCTTCATCGCTACAGCGCTCCATCCTCATGCACCATCTGCGATGGACCGTGCACCTGCTCAGTCGTCTGGGGTTCTTCGTCAACGGGAGAAATCCTGAATGAACCCATCCAGGCACATGGAATTTCTAGGTTTCCTTGTGGATTCGGAGGAGCAATCGTTGAGCCTTCTGTTCTCCAAGATTTGGACAATTCACAGGGAACTTCACAGGGTGCTCCTCCGTCCGCGGATCACCGTGCGTCACTTGTCACGGCTTATTGGCCTACTGGCCTTGTCTATCCAGGTGGTGTCCCCAGCCCCTCTCCATTACACGGCCCTCCAAAGGTTGAAGATAGCTCATCTGCGAGAGGGCACGGCTTACGCAAATCTGGATGGCGAAACGAGGGACAAACTGCAGTGGTGGATCGTGAACCTGTCTGCATGGAATGGCAGGGTGATTTTTTGTTCACAACCAGAGTTCACCATAGACTTGGACGCAAGTCTCCACGGCTGGGGTGCCCATTGCGAAGGTGTGTCAACGGGGGTCATTGGTCGGCTCCGAATCCTGGCACCACATCTACACATCGGAACTTCTGGCAGGTTCTTCCACAATCCAGAGTTTTGCGGGGGTCTAGGCACAGGCGTGCATTCGACTTCGCATGGACAACATCTCGGTGGTGAGGTATGCCAACCACAGATTGGCAAGAGAATTTTGGGAGTTCTGTCGAGCTCAGAATTTGGTGGTCCAAGCAGAATATCTACCAGGTCTACCTAATGTCCAGGCGGATTGGAATTCACGGTATCTTTCGGGCAACAGCGACTGGAAATTGGACGCGGTTGTGTTCTCCATGGTATCGTCTCTCTGAGGTCCCTTAGTCATCGACCTCTTTGCCTCACAGCTCAACATCCAGCTCCCACGTGTTTTCAGCTGGAGACGAGACCCCGCGGCGAAGGCGGTGGACGCTTTCCTGCAAGACTGGCAAGACTGGCAAGACTGGCAAGACTGGCAAGGGGGTCTCCTGTACGCATTTCCCCCCTTCTCCATGATTCCAGGCATGCTCCTTCAGGTTCGACGCCATCAAACCAAACTGGTGTTTGTGGCTCCTGTTTGGGGGATGCAGTCGTGTTTCCCTCAACTTCTGGAGAGGTGGGTGGATTATCCCAGGCTGCCTAGTGATCCAGCGGGTGGTTGTTATCCTCTGTTAGTGGATGGATCCCTCCTTTAAATGGCATGGTGGATTTCAGAGGACCCTGGGAAGTCCAGGGGGTTTCGGAGATTACTCAACGATTGTTGGCGGTTGCATGGGCTCCCGGCACTAGACGTTCATATGGGTCAACTTGGTGAGCTTGGGCTGGCTGGTGCCTGGCTAATGACATGGATCCCATTTCAGCCCCTGTGGAAGCAATTCTGGACTCTCTGACTTCTCTGTTTGACGCTGGCAGGGCTTACCGAATGCTCAATATGTACAGATCCGCCATTTCTTTGACCCACCTTGGTTTTGATGGTTGCCCCGCAGGCAAACATCATTTAGTATGTTGACTTCTATGCGGCTCCCATTTTTCTCATCCGCCTAAGCTACGTTGATCATCCACTTGGGATGACTCGTGGTTCTGTCTTTTCTCAATGCCTGGCCTTCTAACTGGGATCTCTCATTACGCCAATTGTCGGCTAAATTGGTTTGTCTCTTTTGCCTCATTTCTTGCCAAAGGGTGTTGGATGTACGTGCTTTGGATTTTGGTGCTAGATCAAACACAAACCCGGGCGGGTGACTTTCAATATTTCCAGACTGAGACTTCGATTTAGTCGGTATCGTATCGAACTTTCCCTTCGACGCCGGCTTTACGTCCGGTAGCATGTTTACGCGAATATGAACATCGTACCAGGCTGTATCGTTCTGCAGCTACGCTACTACTTTTCTTGTCTTTTCGTCCTCCTTTTGCCCAGTTGCGAGCATGACGTTGTACCGTTGGTTTAAGTGGATTCTGGACCAAGATGGTATCGACATTTGTTTTTGGTGCACATTCTGTTAGTGGAGCCTTTGCCTCATAGACTATGGCATCGGGCGCACGTTAGAAAGACCTTATAAAGATGGCCCTGGTCGCAGGAATCAACATTAAGGGAATGTTATTTTCGGCCTATTACTCTTATGTTTTCTGCGGTGGTTGATCAGCTTTAAACTTGCAATCTGAGCCTCCGTGTCTTGTAATAAAATTACATGATTTTCCTATTACATGACGTAAAGTCATAATTTTATTAAAGGCGAGTATTGTCCCACCCGTTCTGAAGCAATTTCTCAGTTTCTGTTTGTCTCACCCATATTGTTCGTTATAGGTGATTGGATTTGTTGGTATGGTAAGTGGGGCATTGTATTTATGAGTTTTGGTTTTGATTATACCTATTTAGAGTTTTGGGATGGGCTGTTCATTTTGGGATGTAGATTAATGCCTATATTTGCTTCTGGCCTTGATGTTGGTCTATGGTACCGATTTAATCCCTGGGCTCCTGTTCTTTATGTTTTCACAGTGTGATCCGGTCCTGTGTTATGTCTCTTTCATCTAGCTTGGGGAAACATTATCATTATTGTTCCGGATTGGTTTCCTTTTGTGGATTACATGGTCCTGTGTTTTCAATGATGACCTACGTTTTAGTTTGCTGTTGGATTATGTCTCCTGTTTTCCTGAGTTGCGTACTTTTCTGTTGTGGTGTGTCGCATCTTTAAGAAAGAGGGAGATCTGAGGGTGGTGCTTACTATTCTACTGAGACTTGGCTGGGAGTGGCCTATGTTATTATGTATGCATTATTTTTTCATTCTGTGTTGTATTCTTTCCTGCTATTGGTGAAAGGGATATGCAATACTCGCCTCCGTGTCTTTAATAAAATCATGACTTTACGTCATTTAAAAGGAAAATCATGTAATTCTCACATATATTACATATGTATATAAACCCAAAATAGAAAATTAACTAATCCACTTTCCCAAAATTCAAATGTACTGCTATACAATATAATTACCTGATCAGTCAAAAGAAAGCAGGACAATCCAACAGCAAACTAAAATGTTTTGGCGCTGATGGCATTCATAAATGCCATCAGCGCCAAAATGTTGGGTGATTGTTCTGCCCTCTTTTGACTAACATTTGAATTTTGGTACAGTGGA